TAGGAGCAAAGAAAAGGGGAGGTGGGGGGTGATGTACGCTTACGTGCAGCTGCTGTGTGACTGCGTGTGTATGTGAGCACGTGTGTAACCAGTTTGTTGTAGTGTTGACGCACATGTTTGTGCGCGTGATTGTATTTAGTGAGTTCTCCTGTTCACCTTTTTATTTTCTGTGTGTTTTCATTGAGTAAGTGTTTTAGCCTGTGTATGCCTTTTTATGTGTACGACCGAATTTGTGTGTGAGCATTTTACATGGTTGCCCTGACGTTCCTGTGTGAGCTCACATACTCATGTTGTGACTTTGTGGGCCATAGAATTTGAAGCGTGTGCACGCTGAACGCAATCTTGACCGAAAAAACCCCAATATCTGTCCCTTTTGTTCGATATAGCTGTGCAATGCTCACTTGCTTAGCCTACTCACTTTTCCTATGGGTGGTTGTGGGTGCTCTGGTATGGTTTGCTCCTACCATTCTTGTCTCTTCAGCTTCTTTTTGTTTTGTTTTGTTTTGTTTGTTACTCACTTGTAACATCTCTTATCGGCTATTAAGTGATATTGCTTGTTTTGTAACTGTTATAAAACTATGAAAAAGTCACTTTGCTACTGCTTATTCCTTGAGGTTTCTCGAGAAACAGAGACGCTTAGTTTAGGAAAACTAAAAAAACATACGTCCCAGAGTCAGAAATTTCGAGTTTATATGGTGTAGTTGAGTATAAAGTGAGAATATACACGGGCTGGGGTGAGAGTACGTGACTGGAGAAAGGGGAGTCGAGTAAAAGAAGCGTGGGGAGAAGAGAGGGAGCTAGAGTCAGATGGGGAAAAAAGAACTGGTAACGCGTTCAGACTGAGTGAGAAAATGAAAAAAAAATGAGGCCTGAGGTAATATAATGTAAGCAGAGAGAGTAACAGAAGAAAGGGTGGAATTGAGGAACGGGCCAAAGAAGGAAAGGGGGGTGGGGGTGGGGCGGAGGCGAAAAATGATAGGAGTTATGGGTTGAAAAGGGTTTAAATGAGCGCGAGCTAACTGAAGCGAAGAGCCAAGGCGAGGGATGGTAGTAGGTGTTGAGTGAAGAATGGTGAATTTTGTTGAGGTGGAGGGAGGGGGCTTGAAAGGAGAGAGAGAGAGTGATATAGACATAGCACAGAAAGGTGAGAGAGCCAGAGAGAGAGAGAGAGAGGGAGAGAGAAAGAAAGAGAGAGAGAGAAAGAGAGAGAGAGAG